CAAATAAATAAATAAATCTTTTTTAAAAAAAGATTCCACCTAACCTCCCTAGGCGTTTGGTAGAAGCACTAACTCAAGGTCTCCCATATTTCACCAAAATGTGTTGGTAATTTGCAGACTGACAGAGGAAGACTGGTATGAACTGGTCACCTGCACATGTTCCCCATGTTCAGCTGGACAGCTTCCTACTGCCTCCAGGTGGCTCTTTCAGAAAGAGGAAGGGGCCGTAAAGCAAAGGTGCCTGGAGCCCACAGAAATCATGGTGCAACCCTAAGCAAAAAGAGGGGTGCTATGGGCTGAATTGTATTCCCCAAAATTGCCCCCCCACGGGGACTATATTTGGAGCTAGGTCTTTTAGGAGGTAATTAAGTCTAAATGAGGTCATAAACATGGGGCCTTAACCCAATATGATTGGTGTCCATCTAGGAAGAGCATACACCAAGGAAGGGCCATGTGAGGACACAGTGAGAAAGCAGCTGCTGCAAGCCAGGAATCTGGCCAACACCTATTACAGCAGGCCCCCACCAGACACTGAATCTGCTGGTACCAGATCTTGGACCAGGCTCCGGAACTGTGAGAAATAAATTCCTATCATTCAAGCCACCCAGTCTATGGTATTTTGTTATGGCAGAAAATGTGAAAAAATAAACCAACCAAAGTAGAGAGCTGCCAGGTGCATCAACAGTGGTCCCAGATATTGTGCAATGAAGTTGGTTGCATCCAGTTACTCCAAAGGCTCAGCTCTATTTTAGGCATGGAAAGCCAAGACACTGTGGCAAAAAAAAAAAAAAAAAAAAAAAAAAAAAAAGTCCTACACGAAGGATATCTGTGAGTGAGACCCCAATGGAAAGAAATGGCCATCAAAGGAGGAAAGGAGGATGTACTTTTCTCTGAAGGGAGGAGAGAACTTCCACTTTGTTTATGGCCTTGTCTAAATATTGACGGAGTTTGTGGACTCAAAGGCTTGCATAGCCTAGGCAGTTCATGTCAAGAGCCTCTTGGTGATCGGTGACGTCATACGTAAGAGTGTTAATTGTTAAATTAACAACAGGGGTCACTGTGCACTTACTTTTCATGCAGGATCTCTGTCCTCAGTGAGTTATATTATGAGAATTAACAGTAAAACTTGTTCTCAAACTGTGTGTGTGTGTGTGTGCACACAAATTGTTGAATCTTAATAGAGAATGGGACTGGAATTGGAGATGGAGGAGGAAGTGGGGTGGGAGTGGGGGTAGGAGGGTATGTATGGTGGGAAGAATCACTGTATTCCTAAAGTTGTACTTATGAAATTTGTACTTCTTAAATAAAAGGTTTCTTTGGGAAACATAAATAAATAAATAAAAAGTAAAAAGAAACAGGCTCAGCTCGACCTTCCTTCTCTTGTTGTTGAACTTCAGGCTGTAAGTTAGGGACAAGGCAAGTTGAAATCTGTGCAGCGGTTAAGCCTGCTGCCTTGAAGGCTACAAATCAGTAGCAGAGAGAAGAATTCTTTGAGAATAAATCCAGGTTATTTCATTGTTATTCAATTCTATGAACACAGCTAAATGCTCAAATCATACCATCATCTAGCCAATGAAATATAGTCAATGTTTAGCCAATGGGATAACTTGAAGAGTGAGGCATAAAGAATACGTCTCACAGTAGGCACCTGTGTTGAATGCAACTAAGAGGTCAAGTGAGATGAGAACAAAGGAACTGTGGCTGGTTTTGGCGACACGGAAATCAGTGATGACCTTGAGGAGAGCAGGTATGCATGAGATCGTCCAGGCGTTGAGGGAAGGAGGGAAGCTGGCTCCTTACATCGCACTGTACAGCAAAATAATTCCAAGTAGGTTACTGCTTTCCTGAATTCCTTACAACTTTTAAGTGTTTATTCATTTCTTCATCTACTTGAAAGGCAGAAGGATAAACAGAGAGAGAGAGAGAGTGCGCTTCAGTCTGCTAGTTCATTTCTCAAATGCCTTCCACAGCCAGGGCTGAGCCAGGCTGAAGCCAGGAGCCAGGAACTCCATCCTGCTTTCCCATATGGGTGCCAGGTACCCAAGCACTTGAGCCACTATCCTCTACTTCCAAGGATGCATCGGCAGGAATTTGGATCGGACGCAGAGCAGCCAGGCCTCGAACTGGCAATCCGATATGGGATGTGGGTGTCCTTTAGCAGTAGCTTACCCCAAGGCACCATAATCAGCCTCATTTTACCTCGAAATGTTGCCTTGAAATCAGCAACATTTTACAGGAAAATATGGAATGGTTTTTATGACCCTACAAAACTAGTAACCTGGTAAAAGTCGCTGCACCAGATATGCTAGGTCCACAGGTTAGTTTTCTTAGTGAATAAAAAGTTTTTACAAATCAAGATGAAAATTAAAGCACCGTAATAGAAAAGGAAGTGCACAGAAGATGAAATAAAATCACTTTTGAACTTTTGAACTTTAATATCTCACTTATAGCAAAAAAATACAAAATTAGAGCCCCCCAATTTTTAAAATATATTTTAAACAACACATAATTGGACATGTTCATGGGACACAGTTTGCTGTTTCAATAGAGGCCTACATTGTGTAATGATCCTAATATTCCTGAAAACAAGAGGTGAAATCAGAAAGGCTGTTTTTCACCCACCTGCACAGCAAGGCGTGGGGCATCAGCCCTTCCCTCCTTGGCTGGCACTGCTAGTAACCTGCAACCTCTTTGGAGGGCAATTCACACTGATCAAGACTTAAACACATTTTTCTTTTGACCCAATAACATAAAAAATCCAACAGTTCAGTTTGTTTATGTTTGCAAAGATTGAGCCTCAAGGATATTCACTGCATCATTATTTTCAATAAGTGACAAACTAATGTCCAACAGGAGCCCTGGCCATTGTGGCCTTTTGGGTAATGAACCAGTGGATAGAAAAGCTCTCTCTTCCTCTCTCCTCTTCCAGGCCAGCTCTCTGCTGTGGCCCGGGAAGGCAGTGGAGGATGGCCCAAGTGCTTGGGCCCTGCACCCGCATGGGAGACCAGGAGGAAGCACCTGGCTCCTGGCTTCAGATCGGCACAGCGTACCGGCTGTAGCAGCCATTTGGGGGGTGAACCAACAGAAGCAAGACCTTTCAATGTCTCTCTCCTCTCTCTCACTTTCTAACTCTGCCTTTCAAAAAGAGAGAGAGAGAGAGAGAGAGAGAGATGGACTAAATAAATTATATAATGGATCAAAAACTGTTAACACGAGTATTTGTAGCTCTCTCTTTCCTCTGTCAGCTACAGAGAATTTCGTCTTAGGTGCACTCTCCCTTCTCCCTCCCTAAAGGAACCATTCGATAGCTTTTCGACTTTGGTGATTCAGTGCCACGAGAAGGGCTTTGTGGCATCCAGATATGCTCAGGGATGAGGAAGACTACGGAAAAGGACAGATGGGGTATAGCTGGGAACACACGCGCTTCTCGCATGTGCAGGGACTGCGGGTGCAGAAAGTGAGCTCTTGTGAAATACTTGCTGGTTAATGATCTGCACTTCATTTAGATACTCTTCTGTGGCTGGCCCGCAGGAATCCAGGTTCCAAAACTGTTACATACGTGGAATAAAAGCCTCCACAATTATTAAAGGTAGTGAGGTAGAAAGCCTATGGCAAATGTAAGAAAGCAAGATGAAACCTTGCAGTAGGTTCCCACGTGTTTTAGAAGTTCACAGATTCACAGATGTGACTGCTTTCAACAGTTCCTGGAAAAGGAAATTAAAAGATAAATTTGGATCAAAAAATATTGAAACCCATAGTTTTCTTCATAATCTGCATTTTTCATGAATTTTTCAAAACCCCTCTAATTCTCTCAAAAAATTCTCATGGAGAGATGGTCATTTATTTTAAAAACATTTCCTAGATTTTAGGGCATTGCTGAAATTATAAAAGGCTGAGAATCAGAAATCTAAAAGATATTTTTAATATTTATTTTATTTATTTGAAAGAATTACAGAGAGAGAGAAATCGTCTATCGGCTGGTTCTCTCCCCAAATGGCTGCAGCTGGGCCAGGCCAAAGCCAGGAACCAAGAGCTTCATCCAGATCTCCCATGCGGGTGCAGGGCCCAAGCTCTTGGGCCATCCTCCACTGCTTTCCCAGGCCATTAGCAGGGAGCTGGATCAGAAGTGGAGCAGCAGGCACTCGAACGGGCGCCCTTACGGGATGCCAGCACTGCAGGCGGCAGCTTTATCAGCCACACCACAACGCCAGACTCCAAAGGACCTTTTTATTGCTGTTTTGGTAAATGGCGGCCAGGAGGTCGTCATGGGAGCCCTGGCGTCAACCTTAGAGGAAATCCCTGTATTTTCACGGCTGGTCCAGCAGGATGGACATCTCAGGGCTGAAGAAGTGCGGAAGCAAGTTAGTAACTGAGGCAGAGCTGTGTACGGTAGGACCCGGAAGGCCACCTCCCTCACAGCACCGTAGGCGGCTGGGCTAATTCATGGCTGCAAACGGACAGCCTTTTCTCATTGTAAATTGGCCTTCACTCTTGGGAAAGATAGCCTTACTCTCATTTTAACTTTCAAATTGAAATGACTGTGGTGCAACTGAAAATTGAAGGGCGAATGTTACCAAAAATGCACAAAATAGGTGCAAAACTAAAACTATGCAAGTGCGCGCGCCTCTCCTTTTTCTTTGTGTTCCCTGCCTTCACTTAGAATTGGAAAGGAACTCTGGTTCCCAGCTCTGCACCAAACTTGAGGGTTTTCTAGCTCCCAGTTCGCGGCCAGGCGCTGCGTGGCCACCAGGGGACACGCTACCACCGCTTTTCCGAAAGCCGACGGCAGCGGGATAAACAAAGACCAGGCGGCCGAGGGACACCGCCCGCCGCCGCGCTCCGCCTCTCGGGCTCCCCGAGCCCTGCGCGGTCAGGCCACGGCGCGTCACTGCCCCGAACGCTGTTAGCTTGTGGCCGAGCCGAGATTCCTTTTGGGTGACTGGACTGGGGAGGAGAGTACGTATCGGGGCCGAAATAAACACATACTCTGCCGAGATCAAAGCCATAAAATGTTGCACAACTCTAGCAGTCTACTTGCAGGCCGCTTTCCAGAGGTTCAGCTGCCGGGGTCTGGGACACCCCAGCCCCACGCCAGCGGCCCAGGGAACCCGCAGAGGAGGAGAGGGGCAGCCCCAGACCTGGGGAGGCCCCGGGGCGGCCCCGCCCCCGTCCCCGTCCCGGACAGGCCCCCGCTTCGCCACGTCCACACAGGCCCGCCCCCAGGAGGGGAGGAGCCGGCGACACCGCCTTCCTTCCTGACCTGCGCGCACAGCCCGCCGCCTTCGGCACCTGCTCGGTCTGTAGTCCGGCGCCAGCTCCTGAAATTGAGCCCGGGGAAGTGAAGCAACAGCCGCAGCGCCGAGCCCGGCGAACCGAGTCCCCGGCGATGTCTGCAGCCCCACGCGGCGGCCCCGTGAGCGCGCGCGGCCGGTTGCTCGGCCTGCTCCTGCTGCTGCTGTGCCCGGCGCAGGTAAGCCTCGGCGCGGCCGCCGGGTGGGCTGTGAGGGACGTGTGACGCGGCCGGCAGTCGGGGTGGGCTGTGAGGGACGTGTGACGCGGCCGGCAGTCGGGGTGGGCTGTGAGGGACGTGTGACGCGGCCGGCAGTCGCGGTGGGCGGCGGGTGCATCAGGGGCTCCGGCGGCCCTGAGCAAGTCGATCTGCGGAGAGAGCCTCCGGAGGCGGCTCGGCGTCTCGTGCTTCTGCCCCCGGCCACGCTGTCTGCGCGGTGGTCTGGGAGAGGGTGGCAGCCGGGAGGGACTTCCTGCGGGACCTGTGTTGAGCTCGCCTCAGCGGTCGGCAGCTGATTGCTCGATTTAAGATGTGGGATGAGGCAGGGTGAGAGGCAGGACCTTATCCTGAAGTTCTCCACGTACAGCAGCTCTGTATACGTCGTTTAGAAGACCCGACCCCTGTTTCCTCCTTCGGACCTGAGGCTGGGGGTGGAAGGGGAGCGACAGAAAGGAATCAGATTTCCTCCGGCGTCCCAGTGGAGCAGCCCGGGGGTCCTCCACACGGGTCAGCCTGGCAGTCCGGAGAGCGCTGGCTGGCTGCTCCTCACTGCGTTCTGGCCCCTGGGAAAGCGTTGAGTTTCCCCTTGTCACGATTAGCTCGCAGCAGGATGGAGCCTGGACTATGCGCGCCTCGCTGCCGCGTGGGTGGCTGCAGTTTTCTCTTCTCACGCTGCGGGCCAGGGAGGAGATGCCTGGGGACGTAGGGTCCCTTGCAGCAAGTCAGGATGAAAGAGTGGGCCTCCGGGAGTCCCGTGCCCACTAGCCCCGCCCCCTCAGGTGGGTGTGAGGGTGGTGAGTCAGAGGGGCGCACAGGTTACTAGCGTCTGCACACGCTTTCAAACTGCTGTACAGTTTCCAGAAGGGGACAGGTGATTCTGACCCGAGAGAGGGGTGTGTGTGTTTGTGTGTGTTGACAGGTGTCGCGCTCAGCTGTGTGTGTTGTGATAGCGCACAGCTAGTATGGGAATGAACTTCAGGACACCTTCTTGGGAGGAAAGGCAGGTGCCTGGCTGGCACCTTGGGCTACACCACTCACTAGCTCTGTGACTTTGACTCTTTGCTCAAAGCCTCGGTTTCTGTTGCAGATAAACCTGGAAGTATTGGTTCCATTAAGTAGCATGGTAGATGAAGAGACCTTGTCACTCGGTTTAATGTACTCTAAAAGCTCAAGAGGTAGCCGTTAGGTCCCTTTGAGAAAATACAGCTCTTCATTTCCCCAGAGTTTAGATCAGGAGTAAGCAGCAGGCTAAGTAGCTCGAACTTCTCTCTGAAATCCTTTGACCTCAAGGTAGTATCCACTGCTGATGGCCAGGGAGTGCCTCTCCTAGGACAGCTGGCATAGGTCAGAGGGTGGTTGTGAGTCTCTTGTAGAATCCTGGGGGCCCTTCAAGGTCTGAAATCCTCAGTGAAGGCTCCACCTGTTAGTGTCCGTATTAACTCCTTCCTGCTTGGTGGGTCGGAGCCTTGGCCTCAAGCGGATTGGGAGAGGGGTACCTGCTTTTGGAATGCACACCTAGGATAGCAGCTCATCCGGTTTTAGTCTAATCACTAATCGAGTTCTGTCGTGGGATTACAGACCATTGGAAATACATTTGGGGGGAAATTTTGCCTTTTTTTTAAACTTTTCATATTTGTAGATGCTGAAATAACATTAATAGACTGCTTGGATTTAAAACGTTGTCATCCTCCAGGTATTATGTGCAATTTAGAGAAATAGTGCGTGTGCCTCTTGGCTGTGATTTTTAATAGCCTTTTTCCTGAGGAAGAGGAACATAGTGAGAACTGAGTGGGAATTCGGCATTAGCGTGACTCTTCCCGAGGAGGTCAGGAACGGGTTAATCTTCTGGCCTGCAGTGATGAGGAATGACTACCTGAGATTGGAGGCCAGAGGGTCATCTCTCCTGGTCTCTCCCAGCCCTGGACTGATGGGATGATCAGATCTCTTACCAACATAAGCAATCAAGGGGATAACTGGATTTTTATTTTGGTGAGTGGGCAGAGAGAAAGGGACTTGCTGAATAGGTCTTTGTATCCCTTCAGTGTTTGTTATGTTGTCCAGAACAAAGAATCCCTCTGGGCATGAAGACAGCATGAGCTCTCTCTTGGGTGAGCTTTCCTCACCCTGCCCTCCTCACAGGGAGGCAGTGTCCTGCATGGCACGTTACCTACCTGGAAGCCTGGGGTCGGCCAGCTCTAATCTGATCTCAGGTGGCCCTTTACCCCATAGCCCTGTGAAAGGTGTCAGCCCAGCAGCCAAACCAAACTACTTGCTGATCAGAACCTCACATGTCTTTCGGAGCTCCAATTCCCATGCTGCATTATCTGTGGCCTTGTTGTCCTGTTCCTCCCCCGCCCCCTGCCAAGCTAGGATGCCCACCCTCTGAGGTTCTAAGTGTGTTTAAACTCCTGCAAAAGCATTTGCTGCCTGGGAAAAGACTTAAGACTTGAAAGACCTCGTTATGGATCTTGACTCTGCTTCTTCCTGTGGGTAATCTTAGGCTGGCCGGCTTGCCTCTGGAGCCTGTCTCTTCCTCTGTAAAACTGAGTTAATAGCTCTCCCTTCTTCCCAGGGCGCTTGTGAAAAGGCAGAGAAACATTTTGCATTGAACTACCAGATTGCAAGCTTATTGAGGGCAAGAACTCTATTTTATCCTCTCCGGGCAGAAACGGTCAGGACTCTAGACAGGTGTCTCTTTATAATACCAATATTTGGACCTCAAAATGGATTTTGGAGAGGGATGTAGAGATTAGTGGCGATCAGTTTGCAGCTGAGTTCTGGGTGACAGCAATGATCAACTGTGGACTGTACTTCTGTCTGGAACATTTGCTTTGGCAACAAGACTTAAGCGGAAGAAAAAGACTCTCTCTTGTGCAAGTGTGCTGTTGAGTTCAAGAGAAACTTTAAATTTTGTTGTTCATCTTGCTGCTGTCCCTTCCGTAGGTCACAAAAGGAACTCAAATTAATTCCATAAATATAAGTGAGTGTTCTGGGCGCAATGTCAGATGCGAAGGTCATAAGAAAGAACCCATTCAGAAAGCAGTTCATACACTGTAAAGAGCTTTGTAAATGTTAGTAGTTACTATTCCTGTCTTGTTCACAGTGTGGGGAAGGCTGGATACATCCAAAATTGTAATACCGTGAAAGTGCTTAAGCAAGGATAAGGACAGAATGTTAAAGGGAGTCCATTTTTGAGCCAAGCTGTGCAGGATGAATCCGTGTGTACCAGGTAGATAAGAGGAAAACTGGAGAAAACAGGCAGGGGAATGGAGGGGTGGTGGTTACGTAATTGTTACTAAAAGCCATTCAACTGTACACTGACTTGAAAAGATATGTGAATTATCTCAACACAGTTAGATTAGCAGAAGGGCTGTTCTAGATTACAGGAGACTAAAAATGAGAAGTTGCTACCCTGTGTTTGGGTAGTATTCTGTTGCTGCCACAACCTCATCTTGTTTTAGCCCCACAGAACCTTTAAGAGACATAGGATGCTGTTTTTCCTGTTTTACAACTGTGGACATTAGGGCTCAGATTTGTCCCAAGGTCACATAGATGGTCAGTGGCAGAGTAGCAGCTTGAACTACTACCACTTCCACTTTCTGTGCTCTGATTTATTCAAATTCAAAATACTACAGCCAAAGTATTTGTATCTAGCAAGCTGGATGGAACATGGGTGTTCAGCAGATGTTCCATTTGGCCCATGAGAAATCTGCTTCAAGGCGTGTTCCTGTCTGATGTGGCTTCTCCCGAAAGTCAATGGTGAATCAGGCTGTTCTCAGCCTCCTGGGCCGGCCATGACTCACTTGCCACACTAAATGTTCTATAGGAAAAAGCCTGAGGAGTGTAGGTACTGACCCGCACTGGCAATGGTTTAATTCAGACTTGTGGGTTCCAGAGCTCATGCTTGTCTATTAGTCTGATCTTGAGCGAGTTGCTCAGACTGTTAGATGAAGGGGTTACCTGGCAAGTGAAGAGCTGGACTAGTTGACCCCTAACTAAAAAAAGTATGACTTAAACACCTAGACACAGGCAAGTCTGGTGCACATGCAAATTATCCTTTGTTACGCGGCTATATGTTCATTCCAGGTAGACTGTAAGATAGTTCCAGAGGGGCCAATGTGTGGCATAGTGAGTTAAGCTACCGCCTGCAGCACTGGCATCCCATATGGGCACCAGTTTGCATCCTGACTGCTCCACTTCCCATCCAGCTCCCTGCTAATGTGCCTGGGAAACAGCAGAGGATGGCCCACGTGGGAGACCTGGAAGAAGCTCCTGGCTTCTGGCTTCGGCCTGACCTAGCCGTTTTTGGGAGTGAACCAGCTGATGGAAGACGTCTGTCTCTCTTTCTTTCCCTTTCTCTCTGTATCTCTGCCTTTTAAATAAATAAAATAAATCTCTTTTTAAATAAGATTTTTTTAATTTATTTGAGAAACAGAATTACAGACAGTGAGAGGGAGAGACAGAGAAAAAGGTCTTCCATCCACTGGTTCACTCCCCAAATAGCTGCAATGGCTAGAGCTGGACCAATCCGAAGCCAGGAGCCAGGAGCCTCTTCCAGGTCTCCCACGCAGGTGCAGGGGCCCAAGGACTTGGACCATCTCCCACTGCTTTCCCAGGCCATGGCAGAGAGCTGGAAGAGGAGCAGCTGGGACTCAAATCGGTGCCCTTATGGATGCCGGCACTCCAGGTGGAGGATTAACCTACTGTGCCACAGCACCAGACCTATAAATCTTTTTGATAGTTCCAGAGATTGCTGTTAGTCAGAAGTCAGATAAGCACAGCCTCCACCTCAAATTTCTTGCCATGTTCACCTGATCTGCTTCCCTGTCTAAAGAAGCATCAGGCAGCTTCATCCCTGGACAGGATTCTCCACATCACTCCCTCCACCCCCATGCTGCATCGTCCTGACCAGCCTGGCCAGCCTCTGCTCCCTGGAGAACCAGTAGAGTCACCACCTCCCC